TGTTCAAGCTGGATTGGCGTTGCATTCCATCTCTCTGGTACTGGTTCCATAGCTGCTGCTCCTGTACTAGTAAATTCTGTTTCTTCTCCATATCAGCCATTTGCACATAAGCAGGAGGTGGAATGCTCAACGATGCAGTGAATGGATCGTGATTGACTGTTTCAACAGTTCCATCTGGTGCAGGGAGAGCCAGAACTGGGGTCGTTGTCTTCCCTGGACCAGGCAATGCCACACTGCTTGCACTACCTCCAGTCAATTGGGCAGAGCTGACATGCTGCCTAACCATTCCTTGTTCATACATTCCATTGAGCAACAATGGATCAAACCCACCACCCAATGATGCTTTTTGTCTTGACAAGTTGCTAGCTGACTCAACCAGTGCTAATTCCCAATCTGCTTTGCCCTGTTCAGCTGCCGGAGTTTGCCAAGCTGAGGTCACTTCGGGCTCGCCGTTTGATGGGAATGCTTCCCATGATCCATTAGCATTATTTCCTGGAGGACCTGCAAATAAAGCCAAGGCCAACCTATTCCCCTGATCATCTGCAGTGACTGCATCATCCCTCAAATTTACCAGATCATCAGTCACTTGAGGTTGTTGAGACTTGGGCTCAGGCACCGGCTCTGGTGGGGGTGGAGGAGTATAATTTTCGGGTGGAGGCAGAGCCTTAATCTCATTCATACTTGGTGCAGGCTCCTCTTCTTGTGCAGGCGGAGCCTCCTCTCTCCTCTCAGGACTCTTTGGTCTCTTAGCTCTATCCCTCACAAACTCCTCCAGTGTCTCCAGCAACTTGCTCGTAATCCTCTGCACTTCAGGATACTCGGAGGATCTGGCCACACCCGTATCCTTACACCAATTATAAAACCCAATGAGCTCATCAATCTGCTTTGCGGCGCTAGCATAAGCATCAAATGCTTTAATACAATCAGAATATTTCCATGTCAAAAAAACTTATCAAGCAAAACAGCCAAAACTTCACAAATATCGGCATACAACTGAAAGCTCTCCTTCACAACAGGGTACAGTGCAATCAAGATCATCCTACTGTTCTTGGCCAAACCGGTGGGACGACAAGACAAGAACCGATCGAGCAGCCTCTGCAAATGACCCATCTTGCCCAAAATCCTCTCCGGCTTCATCTCCCTCAATGGAGTGATTGGTTTCCTCTCCTCCCGCCCCACAGCCTCGCTCATATCACCATAAGACCGTGACCTTCTAGTCATCCCTCCGTAATTACCATGCCCACCATCTCTAAAATCACCATAATCGTACTCATAACCTCTGGGCGGCGGCGACCTGAAATTATCTCTGCCTCCGAATCTATCGTCACCGTTACTGTGTTGACTACCGCCGGCACCACCTCGAACAGAACCAGAACCGCCCTTCTTCTCGAAAAGCATCAATTCTAGCCGTTGATCCAAGTACATAGCGTAAGTTCTGACAAAAGCAGACTGATCCCAAGAACTGGAGTGAGCCTCGTCTCTAAAATCAGACATGTTCAAGAGCCTGGTTCCCCTCCTCGTCGCGTACAGGATCTCTTCTTGAAAAATGGGATCTCCCTCGTTCAACAGCCTGTGAACCAGGATCAAGGCCTTAAGCGCCACGATCCAGTCACGAGTCTTGCCCAGCCGTTTGGACACCGCCGACACGCACGCGTGAACATAGCCGCGAGAGTACGAAGTCAAGTTAAGGATTTCCCGGACGTACTTCTCGCTGGCCGGGTCGTCATCATGGCTAGTGGCCTTCACGATCGCCACCTCAAGGTCCGGCGCCACGTTGCTCGCAACCTTCGCTATCCCAATGCTCGTCTGGTCCTTAACGGCCCCGATCGCTTTCCGAATCGTGCTCGGCGCCATCTCGACCCTCGATTCCTCACTCGCACCTTGTTAACCCCGCCGATCTACAGAGCGTACACAGCCGTGTCACTAAGTTATTTACCTACGTCTAGAAAAAAAAACGAATTCCAGATTTCAAATACAGTTTAATTTGTTTCAGTAAGATAATCAATTAGATTATCCGAAGTAATGTAATTAACATTAACCAAAACAGAACATCGGTCACCACTGTCGAATTTTCCCTTCCTTTCTATTTTTAGTTTCGAAATTACCGTAGCTCGAGTTATGGAGGACTAGATCTGCGAACGAAGAAAACGGGGTCGGATCTGTTGACTTCAGTCTCCAAATGCAGCCAGGAGAAGGAGAAGAACCAGTTAGAAGGAGAGCTGACTTTGGACAGTAGATACAGAGAAGGAAAGAGAAGAACAATGAAACGGCGACGTACAGCGTGGAAGACAGCGAGCTTTTGTCTGTCTGGTTTGGGTAAAGAAGAATAGTGGAGGGGAGGGAGAAGGAAACGAAGATCGTTCAGGAATTAAATCAAAAGGTGGAGTTAAATAGTGAGGTTCGAATTCGATGACGTGGAGGCATAGGGACCGTCGATGAGAATCATAGATCTGGTATGAAGCATCTATATTACCGGAAGTGTCGGACGCTGTGTGCTTGTCTTAATGCTGGGGAGAGAGAGAGGGAGTTGTGGGTTTTGATAGCGTGCATCTCAGGTTTACGTTCCTACTATACTACGCGTACGACTAATGGTGACAACGACCTCCTCTTTTAATTATTTTATTATATTTATTTTTTAGTGGCATAAATAAAATCCATTACTATTTACATTTCTCTTTTTGTTAAAAAAAATAAAAAAAAATAAAAAAAATTACGTTGACTACTTATTGTTTAATATGGGCTACTTGATGGAGATCAACACGAAATATGTTTTTAGAGACTTATAATTATAATTTTTAATTATCCACAAGTTTTAATTTATTATTCTCTAATTTAATTTATTAAAATAAATTCAAGAGTTAGACGACTTTATCGGCAAAATTTTGATAAAAATAAATTTTCCTATCTATTTCTTATTCTCTTTCCTTAATTTTTGTATTTTCTTGTTAATTAAAATAAATGTATCGATTTATAATTGAAAAAAGAAATTATTGAATAAATCTAATAATTGCCTGCACCTTTGCCTTCATTTCTTGATTTTTGTTTTATATTAACACTTAAATAATGAATAAGAAATTTAATTTTAATAAAGTACTAAAATTACTGATAAATAGAAAAAATAATAATATCCAAGTACCAAATAATTTTTATATATTTTATATTTAAAAAAATTTAAAAATTGTATTTTCATGTAGGACTTTACCATATTAAACTGTGAAAATTAGTATAACCCAAATAAAAGTAATGCGGGTGATAGAGCTCCATAAGAAATTCACACGTGTATGTATATACTTACTAGGTATGTACATATGCAATACCATATAGAGTAGGTTTACTGAGAAAACACGAGTGTAATATGTGTAAGATTGGAATCTAAACGAATTAATTATA